TCTGCAGGACCCTTTGATTTTCAAAGCCAGTGAGTTGCGCAAGTACTTCAAGACAGGCGATCATGCCAGAGTGTTGGCCGGTCGTTACGAAGGCGAAACTGGCCTCATCATACGCGTTGAGCCCTCAAGGGTTGTTCTCGTCTCCGATCTGACCAACCACGAGCTGGAGGTGCTGCCCAGGGACTTGCAACTCTGCTCGGACGTGGCAACGGGTGTCGACTGTCTGGGTCAGTTCCAATGGGGAGATTTGGTACAACTGGAGTGAGTTTGTTTACTTCTTTGCCAGCAAATCAGACCATCACTCATGATATTACAGCTCCCAGAATGTTGGCGTTATCGTGCGATTGGAACGCGAGAACTTTCATGTTTTGGGCATGAATGGCAAGTGCATTGAGTGCAAGCCAACGGCTTTGCACAAGCGAAGGGAGAACCGCAACACTGTTGCTCTGGATGCCGACCAGAATCAGATTCGCCGACGCGATATTGTCAAGGTGATGGAGGGTCCCCATGCTGTAAGTTCTTTAATACCTGCCCCTGCCAGTTGGTACCAGTTCTAAAGGCGGCAACTCTTTCCAGGGACGTTCCGGTGAGATAAAGCACTTGTACCGCAGCCTGGCCTTTCTCCATTGCCGCATGTACACGGAGAACGGAGGAATTTTCGTGTGCAAGACCAGACACTTGCAGCTGGCTGGAGGCAGCAAGACCAACGTTAATAATGCCGGCACTCTGGGTGGCTTGGGATTCATGTCGCCGCGCATTCAATCGCCCATGCATCCGTCCGGTGGCCGTGGGGCTCGCGGTGGAGCACGCGGTGGCCGGGGCGGTTTCCGTGTGACACGTGATCGCGAGATCTTGGGAAAAACGATCAAGATTAGTGGCGGACCCTACAAGGGCGCTGTGGGTATTGTCAAGGACGCAACTGAGAGCACAGCTCGCGTGGAGCTGCACACCTCGTGTCAGACCATTTCGGTGGATCGAAATCATATTGCCATTGTGGGAGTGACCGGCAAGGAGGGCAGTGTCTCCACCTATGGACGCACTCCGGCCCGCACGCCCGGCTATGGAGCTCAGACTCCCAGCTACACTGCTGCCGGATCCAAGACTCCGTTGGTGGGAAGCCAAACACCCAACTGGGATACGGATACGCGTACTCCTTATGGTACAATGACACCGTCGCACGATGGCAGCATGACGCCTCGTCACGGAGCTTGGGATCCTACCGCAAACACAACGCCGGCCAGGAACAACGATTTCGATTATTCCCTGGAGGAGCCCAGCCCAAGTCCCGGCTACAATCCAAGTAATTGTTGTGCTTTTAAAAGGTCTTTTGCATTTTCTAATACTCTACCATCTTTAAGGTACCCCTGGCTATCAGATGACATCCCAGTTTGCCCCTCAAACACCAGGCACTCTATACGGATCTGATAGGAGCTACAGTCCCTTCAATCCCAGTCCCAGTCCTGCGCCGTCGCCCTATCCCGTTGGCTACATGAACACTCCGTCGCCATCGACCTATTCGCCGAATACTCCGGGTGGCATACCGCAGTCCCCGTACAATCCTCAGACACCTGGAGCCAGTCTGGACTCCTCGATGGGCGATTGGTGCACCACGGACATTGAAGTTCGGATTCACACGCACGACGACACCGATCTCGTTGGGCAAACGGGCATCATACGCACCGTTTCCAACGGCGTGTGCTCTGTGTTCTTGCGCCAGGAGGATCGCAGTGTGTCCATTGTCAGCGAGCACTTGGCCCCGGTGCCACCAAACAGTGGCGATGAGTTTAAGGTCATCCACGGCGAGGAGCGCGAGTCCGTGGGCAGAGTGCTGTCCAAGCAGGAGGGCGACGTGCTCGTCTGCAAAATAAATGACGATGTCAAGATGATGCCGGTGAACTACCTCTGCAAGATGAAGTCCATCGATTAAGCTCTCAATAGGCACTGTTGCTACCCACTTCGAAATTAAAAAATGCTTGAATGAAATATACATTATTACGAAAATTATTAATTCAAATAAACAATTATGGACGTTTATTTAAAGTTTGTTTTAGTTCTTAGCGCAGTTTATTTTGTTCAAGAAGTTTACAGAAAATCATTAAGAATTTCTCGTTAAAGAAGATTGAAATCATATATATCAAATCGACACCTTTTGACTAAAAAGTTAATTTAAATTTACTTTGGTTTACTTTAGCAGTTGCTTTAGAATATGTAAGGTTTTAAACGGTATAAAATATAACCGGTTTGGTTATCGATAAGTCAGAACATTATCCGCATAACAGCCCTATTAACGGCGTAACAGCAAAATTTTTTGGCGTTTCAGCCTCAGCACATACAAAATTAATAATCATTGAGGTTAATAATCAAATTAAAGGCGTTAGAACAGCATTTTACATTACTTAAACTTAATCGGAAAGCAATAATATTTTTGTTTATTTGTTAATTTTTAATCGCCACGAGCAGTCTAGTTAAACTTAAAAACTACATCTGCCTGAAAAAAAATTAAAATCTTTAAATTTGCGCTCAATATTCTATAAGCCCCATTATTTTCTAAACAGTTTTGGCAGCCTACATTAATAATGTTGTAGATGTGTCATTGCGCAACTGGATAAATTCAATAAAATCAATTTAAGCTTATGAATTCTTTAATTTTGTTTAAAACTTGTATTGTAAAAACAATGCATTTAGCAAATAATAACGATTGTGTTACAAGCTCCATTTGAATTTCATACAGAACAGCTGGCAAACAGCTGCAGTAATTTTAACAACTCAGTACTTAACATAGGGAATACCCTTGTTGTTTAATTTTTTCGGTGTTTGCAGTAGGTGATGGAACAGTGTGCGCATAACAGCACGATAGCTGGATAACAGCACGACAATATCACGTGTAAGGCATTTTTTAGGCCCTTTTGTGCGCGTGCCGGCGGCCACACTAACCTTTCCTTCTTTTCTTACAAGTTTCCGGTGAGTGCTCCGCGTTTTTTTGTGTGATATTTTGATTTAATAACTTTTTAACCATTTATTTGCAGCGAGGAATTCCTGTGAGCAGCTTTCTTCCCTACATACCATAATGGCGGTAGGTTCACAAACAAATAATTGCCGCATCGACATATTTTCGACCATATTTTTGGGATGTAAAAGTGCGACGTGATGCGATCACAGAAATTTTACGTGTTTACGGCCCCACTCAAAGTGACACGAAATCCCTTGATTGTTTCAGGCTGTTGCTAAGAAGATTAAGCGCGATCCGGCGAAGAACCCGATGAGGGATCTGCACATCCGCAAGCTCTGCCTGAACATCTGCGTGGGCGAGTCCGGTGATAGGCTGACCCGTGCCGCCAAGGTAAGATATTTGCGATATCCGTGCTCCCTCGGTGGCGGCTAACCAAATATTGTGTGTATATACAAACAGGTGCTGGAGCAGCTGACTGGCCAGCAGCCAGTGTTCTCCAAGGCCCGCTACACGGTGCGTTCGTTCGGTATCCGTCGTAACGAGAAGATCGCTGTCCACTGCACGGTGCGCGGCGCCAAGGCCGAGGAAATCCTGGAGCGCGGCTTGAAGGTGCGCGAGTACGAGCTGCGTCGGGAGAACTTCTCCTCCACCGGTAACTTCGGTTTCGGTATCCAGGAACACATCGATCTGGGCATCAAGTACGATCCCTCCATCGGTATCTATGGTCTGGACTTCTACGTCGTCCTGGGCCGTCCCGGTAAGCATCCCATTCCGCTGCGGAATCGTGCACTTAATTAGGTATCTCTGCCAATCGAGGCTCTGATGCTCAGTGAATGTGCGCATAGCAAAGAAGATGTGCTTAGTTGGACTTGCTTCACTCCATGCAAGACCACACGGTACAATTTCTACAATATATATCCAGAAGATTACCCCTTATCGCATCACTTACCCCCTTGTTCTTGTGCATTTTAGGATACAATGTGAACCACAGGAAGCGCAAGTCCGGCACTGTTGGCTTCCCGCACCGCCTCACAAAGGAGGATGCCATGAAGTGGTTCCAGCAGAAATACGATGGTATCATCTTGAACACCAAGAAGTAGAGGAGCTCTACCCGTAACCATGTTTTTTAAGAAGAATTCTACAATAAACCTTGGCTTTCGTCAACACGTAAAACTCACAGTTCAAATCTTGAATCGTATTTTAGGTATTGCGGGACTTGTTGCAACTGACTGAATTGTGTTGCGGGTTACTCGGAGAGAGCCAATCGATATAATGATAGTATAATGTAGAAAGAAATCGAATCTGTTTAAAGTTGGTTTCGAATCGATGTACTGTTTAGCCTGCTTATACTTAGCATTAACATCGCTGAATATTCTCTAAACATCAATTTTTGTTTCAACTTTAAAACTGACTTGATACCATCGCATTAAGAGGCAAAAACAAGAACTCTGGTATGAACAGCTGGCTTAAAGTATTAACAATTTTCCGGTGTAAGGAACAGAGAATGTATTATTTATTTTTATTAAATTTGTTAGCAGAACATCTTTGACACATTCAATATTAAATCAAACTTGTCAACGGAACTTAAAGAATATTTGTTGGTACCAAAAACTGGTTTTCAGTTAAACAAGTTGAACATATTAAAAAGTTGTTGAGGCCCGTGCCCACAGAATCGGGAAATAAGACCCTTCTCGGAATGACCAACAAAAATAATGCTCCATACCAAAAAACTAAGCGTTAAAATTTTATTAGACACAAGAAATTTTTGATGAACATCCAAGAACTTACCCTCTATTCTTCGTGATAAATAGCCATAAAAAATATACCTTTAAAATAATTCACAAAACCTTTTCAATATGTACATTCTACATAGTTAAAACGAATTGGATAAGATTTGATGGAAGTAAGAATTAAATTTTTACCCTTAGGGCTTTGTACCTATGCCAATATTCAATGTCATCCCCGGGGTGAACTTGAAAATTTGAGTGGGCGAACGAATTCTGAAGCGTTAGGCAAAGTTGAAGGTGGCCAAAAGTTTCAATAAATCGATGCCAACGCCACGCCGTTGCCACGGCAATTAAAAGTCCTTTGCAGGGCCAAACATGTCAGAAGTATCGTGGTAAACAAAATAAAACTGATGTCAGTCCAACAGTAAAATGGGAATGTTGCACAATTTGGCCGATTTGATAAAGATTAAAAAGGATAAAATGACGATTTTAGTGCTGGGCCTAAACAACAGTGGAAAGTCGTCGATAATCAATCATTTCAAAAAGTCCAGTGAACAGACTTCAATCGTTGTGCCCACAGTTGGCTTCATGGTGGAGCAGTTTTATAGTAAGTGGGTGTGGAATATTGGAAACATCAAGTGTTATTAATATATATATATCCATCCGGAACAGGCATGTCCGGTGTATCAATAAAGGCAATTGACATGTCGGGGGCCACACGATACAGGAACCTGTGGGAGCACCAGTTTAAGAACTGCCATGGCATTATATACGTCATTGATTCCAGCGATCGCATGAGATTCGGTATGTTGTTACACATTCGGTATTTATGCTCCTGATGCTGAATTTTTCCATTGCAGTGGTGGTCAAAGATGAGTTGGATCTGGTGCTAAAGCATCCCGATTTGTGCAATCGAATTGTGCCAATTTTATTCTATGGAAATAAATCGGACATGGAGGATTCACTTTCCAGTGTGAAGATTGCAGCAGGTGCTTGAATAAATAATTTGATTTAATTTTTTTAATTCAATTTCTTAATTCCTTTATAATTATGCAAAAGTTAATGTGACATAACATTCGATATTTTAGCATTAAGATTGGAGAACATTAAGGAGAAACCCTGGCACATCTGCTCCACAAATGCTATATCCGGTGAAGGTCTTGGCGAGGGTGTTCAATGGCTTATACAGCAAATGAGATTCGCCATGCTTAGCAACAAGGACGCTGCGAAATCCAGATCGAAACACTGCAAATAGATCTGAAATATCATGCACTTTTCTTGATGTTCAATAAAAAGCCATGTTTTTGAAAAAGAGTATTACAAATCTGATTTTTTTAGGAAATCAACAGAAATTTATTTTCTCGCAGGGACAATCTTCTCGTTTCATTACAAATTAACACGGGCGAATAAAGCTTTACGAATCTTAGCATTCCTCCGTTAACTTGTAAATAATGTAAATTCAAATTAACCAATATAATTTAGCAGTCTAGGAAATTAGCCGCCATCAAAAGTTCTAATGCGATCTCTGGAGCGATCGGGAATTCGGGTATTTCGGTAGAACTGTTGGTGTAACGCACTTTATAGGTGAAGTACATGCAGACCTTTTGTAGGACGTGGGATCTGAAAAAAATTAAGGGGTTAATTAAGAATCAGTTGCAAGTTCTGTACAAATTAAATATTCTGAACCCTTAAAGAGTTCAATACCTATTTAAGCTTTACAGCTTAAAAAGAAAGATTTTAAGTGGTACAAAAATGGAAAGATCCAAATATAATTTTTTTTATATACATATTCATGTGTATGCCAGCAACAAATTACTAAGTGTTATAGATATGTACAAACTAATGGATGTCGTACTTCGAATTATTCTCTTAAATCTTTTTCCTGACGATCTACTACATAGACAACTGTAAAAATCAATCGTAACTTAAGTTTTATATACCAATTTTTTTAAAAATCGATTTCTCAATGCTATTTTGAAAACCGTATTTGCCTGTTCTATTGCTAGTTCTAGTTCTAATCTTTTGACCATTGTTGTACGCTAGATTACGTATAAAGTCTGAGATTTGCATCGTTCTGAACGATCTGTAATCCGTGCATTTTAGTTGGGTGTGCATGGCGCCACCTACATATGTGTATGTATGTGGCTGTGCGAATTTGTCGCCGGTCAATAGGTCACAGTTACGATGACTTGGCGCTCCCAGGTGCATTTTTCAGCCGGCGCAGCCTCTGGACCGGAGTCCCTACTTACGGAATCTCCCGGAAATGCACTTCGTTAGCCTCGTTCTCGGCGAATTGTCCCGGGCCGGACAACATTGCCCGGATTGTGCCGGAGGTGAGAGCGTGCTCGCGTTTTACGACAAATTCGTGGCCGTCCGAGGAAATCAGCTTCACGTACATGGCGTCCGGACCCTCGCATCCGCCGTAGATCTTGTCGCCGCGCTGCTCGTCCATTGCTATCATCTTGGGGCGGGAATTCGGATTGGGGATTAGGACAGCTCGCGAAAATCGCCCTATTATTTATATTTTATCTTACTTGTCAAATATCAGTCAGTGACACTCACACACGGCCGCTCAATCTCACACACACACGAAAAACAAGTGTTGAACAGCGCGCGATTATACTAAGAAATAAATTAAATTGATTGTTTCATTTTATTTAAATATTGTTAAGTTAAATAATCATTTAAAAATTATTTTATTTAAATGTACTAGTTTTATTATCTAATTAAAACACACTTAACACACGGTGTGTCGTATCCCTGGTAACCCAGTGTTGCCCATCGATTATTAATCGATTTTTAAAAATTAAATAAATATTTAAGCATTTTTGAGAAATAATTTATATAAAAACAAATCTAAAATCTTAAAGGGGATTGAGCAAGAAAAAATTTGACATGTAAATAAATACACAAGCATAACTTTAACTTTTTTTTAAAAAAAAATTAATAAGTTGAATGATATATACATATATGAATTAATACCTGTCTAACTAAAGTTTATTGATTTACCCACTTAAAACCATAACAAAGCTATCTACAAAACTAGCTAATAAGTTATTTCGACCAACAAATTTTTTATTTTAGGTTATGAATTATGACTCAATATTTATGACACATGAAAAATGGATTAATATTGTCTCCGAAAGTACTTAATAACACCAATACACTACCTACAAGTAAATATAACGTGTGGGAAACTAGTCTGATGTCTACGAATTAAAAACAACATTAATTAGATATATTGCATTCAAGGCCGTAAGCTGGAGGCCGAAACAATAACATTTTACGTAGGCTTCAAATTGCTACTTCCTACGTGTCCTCTTCAAGGGCAAATCATTTTTCTGTTTGCAATATTTTCTCGAAAGTTGAGGTAGGTAAAGACCTGCTAATAAATAAATATCTAAAAACAAACAATGGTTGTGAATGAAATTATCAATCACAAAACATAGCCATATGTCTTAAACAAACAGCCGGTGACAGGAGAATCTTTTGTTTTTAGTTAAATGGGAAAACCCAACAAGACATACACAAAAAACGAAAGACTTTACCAAATTTAAACTCCAAAGCAAATAAGCCTCAACCCGATTAATCATTTTTGTACTTTTCAGCCAAGTAGGAACCTCCCAATAAAAACCATTAATGATTAGAGTTGTGAACAAAATTGGATCCGACTTTATTGATTACGTTGTTAAGAGAACAAACACATTACAAGTGAATTCATTTGTTCTCGTTTCATTTTTTTTTCGCAAAACATTTATCGAGAATTCGATTGATTTCCGATTCGGATTTAGTTCTCGTCGACCTCAGCCTCCTGCTCCTCCTCGAACTCGGCGTCCTCGTCGGCGGTGGCCTCCTGGTACTGCTGGTACTCGGACACCAGATCGTTCATGTTGCTCTCGGCCTCAGTGAACTCCATCTCGTCCATGCCCTCGCCGGTGTACCAATGCAAGAAAGCCTTGCGCCTGAACATAGCGGTGAACTGCTCGGAGATGCGCTTGAACAGCTCCTGGATGGCGGTGGAGTTGCCGATGAAGGTGGCAGACATCTTCAGACCACGGGGCGGGATGTCGCACACGGCGGTTTTCACGTTGTTGGGGATCCATTCGACGAAGTACGAGCTGTTCTTGTTCTGGATGTTCAGCATCTGCTCGTCGACCTCCTTCATGGACATGCGTCCGCGGAAGATGGCGGCGACGGTAAGGTAGCGTCCGTGCCGGGGATCGCAGGCAGCCATCATGTTCTTGGCATCGAACATCTGCTGGGTCAGCTCGGGAACGGTGAGGGCGCGGTACTGCTGGGATCCTCGGGAGGTCAGGGGAGCGAAGCCGGGCATGAAGAAGTGAAGACGGGGGAAGGGCACCATGTTGACGGCCAGCTTGCGGAGATCAGCGTTCAGTTGGCCGGGGAAACGCAGGCAGGTGGTCACGCCGGACATGGTCAGCGAGACGAGATGGTTCAGGTCACCGTATGTGGGGGTCGTCAGCTTGAGGGTGCGGAAGCAGATGTCGTAGAGAGCCTCGTTGTCGATGCAGTAGGTCTCGTCCGTGTTCTCCACCAGCTGGTGCACCGACAGCGTGGCGTTGTAGGGCTCAACCACGGTGTCCGATACCTTGGGCGACGGCACCACCGAGTATGTGTTCATGATCCTGTCGGGATACTCCTCGCGGATCTTGGAAATCAGCAGGGTTCCCATGCCGGAGCCGGTGCCGCCGCCAAGGGAGTGTGTGAGCTGGAAGCCTTGCAGGCAGTCGCAGGATTCGGCCTCCTTGCGGACAACGTCGAGCACTGAGTCCACCAGCTCAGCACCTTCTGTGTAGTGACCCTTGGCCCAGTTGTTGCCGGCTCCCGACTGGCCGAACACAAAGTTGTCGGGCCTGAAGATCTGGCCAAAAGGTCCCGATCGCACGGAGTCCATGGTGCCGGGCTCCAGATCGACGAGGACAGCGCGGGGCACATACTTGCCGCCGGACGCCTCATTGTAGTACACATTGATGCGCTCCAGCTGCAGGTCGCTGTCACCATGGTAGGCACCGGTGGCATCGATGCCGTGCTCATCGGAGATGATCTCCCAGAACTGTAAAAGGAAAAAGAAAATTAGGAATGGAGGATTAGAGAGGGCTTAACAGCAGTTACACAAGGTTCTTGCATGAATGAGTCAGCAAAAAAAATCGATTTAGAGGGTTGTTTTTCCAACTCTATTCTAAGAAATTAATTTCGAATGAGTCATCTTGAAAGTTAATAGTCATTTCTCTAAGCCTAGACCATCTGGTTCTGAACACTTATATTGCTTGCTAATACTTCGCTTTATTCTAACAATCCAGTTATGGTAACAAGAAGTTTGGTTCCACCAAGTATGGTTGGATTTTAAGAAAACTTTTACTAGCCAGTCAAACTCAATTCCAATTTTCAAAGTAATTACCACAAACAAGGCCCTTCTCTGTTTAGTGAAAGTTTAGTTGAGCAGCACAGTTTACACAGAAAACATGAATGAGAAAGTTCTTTAAAATGCATTATAAATAGAAATGTATCTTTGCAACAAGATACCATCTTGAAGAAAATATTTGTGCAGGGAAGTAGCAAAACTCAGTCTATATATAAGACATTATTGATTGGAATGAATGGGCACAAGCCTCAATTATGTACATACACATATGTCTGGGCTCGGCTATATGTTCAGGCACCTATGTACGCCATCATAAACTGTGTATGGGCCGAGCTCCGATTAACATAACTTATTCGCTGCCATTTTTGGTGCGTTTCCACCACCAACGATAACGTCATCTGGCGTGGGTTTTCGTTTCAGATCTCGAGGCGCAGCTGTCATTGGGTTCCGCCGAACCGAGCCGATCTCTCTTGAATCTTCGGGCGTGGGCTGAGTATGACTACTATCTATATGTCTGTCTGTCTGTATGTCTGTCTGCCCCCACGCATTGCCGGCGACCTCAGAGCCGGGCTCTTTACCACCCCAAAACCCCCCGCTTCCGATGGCTTACATCACCGGTTGTTCGGGTTCGGCTCTCGACCCACTCTTATAAGCCGGAAAGGAGAAGGAGGAGGTGGTGGCACTTGTAGAGAGGCGTTGGCGTTGGTGTTGTCTGCTGAGAGGTTAAAACTGCAGCTCAGAGCTCTACTAACTACCGACCATCTGGCGCATAAATCGTCTGTTTTTTAGGGCATTACGTCACCCCAAATAAAGTTTTTGCGACTGTCGTTGTTTATGTCGCGTAAACAAATAAAAACAATTTACCGAAATAAGTTTGATATTGGTATGAGTACAGCGGAGGAAATGCGTGGTTGACACTCGTTAAAACGAAATG